AATTTCTTTTTTTAAATGCTTATTCAGGTGGACCACCCTGACGAAAAATGGCTATTCAAGGAGGAGCCGCACGTGCAAAGGCGTAAGGCAATTTTGAAAGATCATCCTGAAGTGAAAAACTTGATGGGCTACGACACAACCCTCGCTTTTGCTGTCCTCTTCATCGTTTCTCTCCAATTTTTTGTTTCCTTTGTTGTCGTCAGAGAGGCTTCGTGGCCCGTCTTGTTGTTGCTAGCTTACGTCGTTGGAGCAACATGCAATCATTCACTTGGAGCAGCTATTCACGAAATAGGCTAGCTTATATAGGCTATATATATAACAAATAAGTATAATTTTAACCGTTATAATCATTATAATTTTATTAAAAACATATCACTTTGTACATTTATTTTTAATAGTTTGTTAATTATTCGTTTATGAATTTTTAATTAATATTAACAATGCGCAATTGAAGTTTGACAAAAACTTGTTTTTTAGGACACAACTTGGCATTCGGTCATTCACACATCCTGGCCAATAGAATTTTGGGCATGTTTGCCAACCTACCGTGGGGCATACCGATGTCGGTAACGTACAAGAAGTATCATACGGACCATCATCTTTACATGGGTCATGACACTCTTGATGTTGACATACCAACGGTTATTGAGTCATATCTTTTTAGACATCCAATTACTAAAATAATCTGGCTGCTCGTTCATCCTGTCATACACGGTCTGAGGCCATACTTCAAGAGTCCAAAACCGATTTGGAAATTGGAAGTTGTTAATTTTATTGTTCAGATCTCATTTGATTTATTCGTCTTGTACGTATTTGGAATAAAATCGTTGAGCTATTTTGTTGCTGGTTCCTTGTTGGGGCAGGGTGGTCTGCATCCATTAACTGGGCATTTTTTCTCTGAACATTATCTCTACATAAAAGGTCAAGCAACAGTAAGTTACTATGGACCGTTAAACTTTTTTATGTTCAACCTTGGGTATCACGTAGAACATCACGATTTTCCTTACATTCCATATAGAAAGTTACCTGAACTTAAAAAAATGTGCCCTGAATATTACGACGATTTGCCATATCACACTTCGTGGGTTAAAGTGATTTGGGATTTTGTGTGGGACAGTGATATGGGACCTCACGCGAGAGGTGTCGGCTATCTTCCGGAGGGCAGGTCAGAAGTTGATATCTTAAACTCTGATAAGAAGAAATGATGAATCAACTTTTTATTATTAAATCAATAAATTCTATATAAAAATAAAGTCAAAGTGAGAACAGGTAGATTGCTGCTTATATGTTCATCTCGTGTGTATTTTGTCTACATTTAGCATATATTAATATTAGAATATCAAATCTACAACACTGCTTGAAATATATAATGTAAACACATTTGTAATTCATTCATTTTCTAATGTCTTTACCAAAAGTTGTTAATAGGTATATAATAATTTTATTTCGTCAAACTCGTGCGTCTGTGCTGTTGGTATAATTTTTGACTGTGGACCAAATTAAATTTGTGCGTACTTTTTATAAATATATTTACAAACAATTTTTATAAACAAATATTTGTCTGTTTGCATATATGTATAATTGCCTTATGTTTTCCAACATTCATTCTTTTGTCAATTGAAATTGTCACTTCGCTTGTTGGAGAACTGAGCAGCTCCACGAAATATATGTAGGATAGCACTTAAAAATACTAGCAATATACTTGCATCTAACTTTTATCAGCAAAAATTTGTTGACTTGTTTTTTCAATTTTAATGGTAAAAAACAATCACTTTGTGCATCCTTCAATTTTGATACATTCCATCCACTTTGTTATTTTATTAAATAAACAAATTTTAATTGTCGATCTTAGTAGGTTTTTGTGTCCGAAAAGACCAAAATTGAATTAGTAAACACTAAAATATATACATCAATAAATAGTGCTTTTTTAGTATTTACTTCAATCGATTGTTAATAAATTTTCTCAATTTTTAGACAAATTTTATAAATTTTGTAATACTTTTGTATGTTAAGAGAATAAAAATAAAAAACTAGTAAAACAAAATGGAACATGTGCGACTAAATGAGTAGCAAAGTTAAATGCTTTATTGTGGAACATAATGAAAAAATACGGAAGTCCAATACAAATGATAAATATACGGAAGAGTTCTACAAAACGCTTTGACAATGCCTCATTCTATTTATGTCAAGTCTAAATATCACATTGAGTTAATGATTATACGCAACACAATCAGTAGAGTTATGTTGTCATTTAAAATCGAACAAACAAATTAGATATGGCAGGAAAAATTATAAGCATTTCTCGGGAAGTAACATCTTCCTTTTAAAACCTGTCACACTTAGAGAAAGGGTTAAATGGTTTAATTAGTAATAATAATAATAATAACAAAGTTTAAAGTCACACTTGGAGACAGGGTTAAATGGTTAAATTAATAATAATCAATCAATCAATCAATCAATCAATCAATCAATCAATCAATCAATTAGCTTATAAAGCGCTATTTCCGCGATGTTCAACAGCGCTCCTCAATGAATTTTGAAAACAGATGGGTCTTGAGATCCGCTCTGAACTTCGCAAGTGATGGAGAAGTAGTCAGAGAAGTAGGTAGAGAGTTCCAGAGAAAAGGACCAGAAAAAGCAAAAACAGATTTGGCAAAAGAGTGTTTAACACGAGTTAAGAAAAAGCGAGAAGAAGACGCTCGTAAACCGGGGCGTTTAGGTTCAATTAATATATCTGATAAATACTTAGGAAATAATTTAGATTGAGACTTATACATGAACGTGCAAATTTTAAAAATTATTCTATATTTTATTGGTAGCCAGTGCAAGAGAACAAGATATGGAGATATATGAGAAAAGAAAGGGGCACGAGCAACTAGACGAGCAGCAGAGTTAAAAGCTTTACTTAAAGGATAGATTATAGAGTCAGGAAGACCATAGTAGAGCGAGTTACAATAATCAATCCTAGATAAGACTAACGAAGTAACAAGAAGGAGAAGAGTAGGATCATCAAGAAAAGGCAAAAGTTTTTTTATTCTACGTAGATGAAAGTAAAAGCTTCTAGCAACACTATTAATCTGAGAAGAGAGACATAGTAGAATCAAAGATGAAACCTAGACTACGAAACTTATGAGAGACATCAAGAGTTTTAGAATCAGGTAAAATAATAGGAGGAATAGTAATAGAGTGTTTAGATTTATTAAAACAAATTAATTCAAACTTAGAAGGATTAAGTTTAAGACACATAGAGTCAGACCAAGCAATAATTGAAGAAATAATAATAATAAAGTTTAAAGTGGTTTAGTAGACTAACATCTGTGTAAGACAGTAAGAACCACTACAAAATAAATGTCCTAGTATCCTAAATAAACCTTCTTATTTATTATAAAAATTTTAAGTCGCAACAACTAAATAAAAAATAGTCCCAACGTTAAACTAGCAACAACACAGCACTCCCACGTCATCTACCAATTTCTATGTCCTCACGAAGACTGTAGGCTTCGTCCATCTTCTTATATTGGAATGACTACCACAAAACTGACACGCCGTTTAACCTGCCATTTGAACATCGGAGCTCCAAATCAACACTACCATGACTGCCACAACCAGCAATTATCCCGCAAAATATTAGAAGATAATACTAAAATATTAATGAAAGACACTAATTTTAACAGACTACAAATTTTAGAATCCCTATTTATTAATATTTATAAACCTAATTTGAACAAACAAATTTATTCCAATTTTATTTTACCTTCATCACGAAATGTTTTATTTATTATTATTATTATGTTATATTACAAAATAATTGTTTATTATACTTAATTTAACTACTTACGTTATTTAACTTTATTCGTTACGTTACTTTCGCGCTCAACTCTTATTACGTCATCTGACAGTTTATTGTTATGTTTTATTTGAATTAATATTAAATTGCCTGAAGATGAATTATAAAATTCGAAACGTCGCTTAATAAATAATTATATAATGAATATTGGTGTTCTAATTTTTGATTTAAATTATAATTATAAAAAACTAATAAGAAAAATAGAAAATCTTAATAAAAAATTAAATAACAATAATATAAGCATATATATATATATATATATATATATATATATATATATATATATATATATATATATCCATATATATCTATATATATATCCATATATATCCATATATATATATCCATATATATATCCATATATATATCCATATATATATCCATATATATATCCATATATATATCCATATATATATCCATATATATATATCCATGGTCTAAATCATATAACTAGAATAAGTGGTCTAAATGATGTTCATGGCTTACTTCATCGTCGGTCAATCATTTAATGAAAATTGTAAACAAGCGCACAGACGGATTCGCTTATTTGCTAATAAACATTTTTCTATGTCAAACTGGCCATAAAAGATTATTTTTAAATAATGGTCATTTTGATAAAAAAACAACCCATTATTTTTTTTACTTTTAACTCTTTTCGTAACTTCACATCATCGCAATCGTTGCTCGGAAGGAAATCTCGTGAACCGTACGACAGAAGATTCGGCTTGCATGTCAATGAAGCTGGTCCCCAAAATCCCGGTGGCACCGTTAAACTAGAGGAAAAACTCAGCCGTGGACGTATGTTTTACATTATTTTTATTACATGACTGTGTGTCAACTCAATCATAAGATAATAAATAATAATAAATAATGTGTCAACTCAATCATGAGATAATAAATAAAAACGTGGGCTTATAATCAATCAATCAATCTTCGTTTTGCGTCCAGAGACCCGGTTTCTCGAGGTAGGACATTGTTTTCTTTGCCATCAACTTTTTGCACCAAATTAGACTATCCGTTGTATTCATTTCATTTAAATTTAGAGCTTTCATGTCTTGCTCGATTGTTTGTGACAAGGACTTCTTTTTTGGAACGTGTGCCAGGTACTTCAAAATCTGCAAGAGAAGTTATGGCACTGTTTCCACTTCGTTTGACATGACCAAACCACCGTAGACGGTGTTGCCGGCATTCGTCCTTTATATCATCTAAACCAGCATGACGCAGGATTTCGGTAGATTTGATGTGGTCCTTCAGACTAATTCGTTGCATCCATCGGAGCATTTTCATGTCGGTTCATTGAAGTTGTTGTTCCAGTTTGGTTGTCATTGGCCATGTTTCTGCACCATTTAACAACACCGGACGTATCACAGATTTATAAAGTCTTGATCGTAGTAGTAGTGGGATGTCACGCCGCATCAATATAGAGGCAAGGAGATGCCATTTATTCCAGGCTGCACGTATGCGTGCTCGAACGGCAGCTTCAGCTGTTCCAGTACAATCCAGAACATCCCCTAGATATTGAAACGATGTGACTTTCTTTATTTTAATGGCTTCAAAAACAGTGCTATTTCGAATTTGTTGTTGTGGATTGATGCAAGCAGGACAAACAAAATTGGACACTTTAGATAAAGTACCAATTATTTTTGAACAACGTTTGTGACACCACTGGTTACACTGCTGATACTTGATTGAATTGTTACCTACACCAGCTTTACAAACTGAACAGGGCTATCGTCCAGTAGCTGTGGATTGGATGGATTCACCAGTCTTCATTGCTTTGGTTTTGCTAATGTTGATCCATGATCATGAAATCCATGATCGGCGAGTCTGGTGTTCCAATCTTCAAACATCTGTGCTGCATTCTGCCCAGACGTTGCTGTTAAAACGATATCATCAGCATATACTAGATTCCAAATGTCATCAGTGCATATCGATTTTGTGATTTCTTCCATCACAGTTATAAATAACAGTGGACTGAGAATCGAGCCTTGGTGAACTCCAACGCCGATGTCAAATGCATCTGTGTTTCCAACCGTTGTGCTGACAAAAGTCTTAGTATTCGTATACATCTCCATCACAAGTCGAACAAGATATTCTGGAATGAATTGTCGACGTAGACTCCACCTGATTGCTTCACGGGGAACTCGATCAAATGCTTTTTCAAGGTCTACAAAAATGTGTGATAGTTGTTGATGCTTTGCGAGGTACTTCTCTTGCAGTTGCCGAAGGATGTGAATTGCATCAATTGTTGATTTCCCCACTAGAAAACCAAATTGATAATTTCCGATTGTGATGCACGACGTTAATCTTCTCTCAATGATTTTTTCGACAATTTTCAGGGAGTGTTCCAACAGACGTATACCCCGATATGACGAACAGTTCAATGGATCACCTTTGCCTTTGTATAGCGGAACTGTCATGCTATAGTTCCATTCAGTCGGCATTGAGCAATTTCTCCAGATTTCACGGCAAAGTTGTAGTAACGTTTGGATACCTGCAGTAAGTATCTACATCTCATATCTCCACTGTGATAACTTTAGAGATCTTGGATGAAACATTTGACCATTTACAATTTTCATGGTGGAAATAAGAAATGTTGAAAATTTAATTTATTAATTTTATATAAACAATATATACTTTGTTAAAAAATATAACTAAAACTTCAATATAACTAAGCGTGGGCTTATAATAAAATAAATAAATAAAATATTAAATCCAAATTAATATTAAACTAACCTGACACACTACAATTTAAAACTTAATTTTAACAGGCCTTACACATTAACACACAACTTACTTACACTGTTACTTATCTTATTTACGTCTTTACCTTTCAGTGCCTTACTCGGGCTTACTGTAATGTAATTTTAATAGTTTAATTAATTTTATAATTATGTTATAAGTTATATATAACTTTTTTCACTCGTTTTTATCATTTTTTTTAAAATTTGTCTGATCTGCCTTGCTCTATTTTATACTTTAATTGAATTCAAAGT